TCATGGTGAAACTTGGTTGGGAGAACAGGCAAATCACCAATGCTCTTGAACAAAGAAATCAACAACTACAAATGATAAGTTGGTTCATAGGTGGAAGAAATAAAATTGAAGATGAGCCCTGTAGTTGCAGGCCATCAATGTCAGTTTGTGAGGAAAATATTGATGTTCACTACATGATTGATAAGTAAAGACGAATAACCACTGAATCAGTAGAAGACACACTCAGCATTTCTGTGGCTTATGTACACACAATTCTGGTAGAGTTTGTGGCTAAACAAGCTTTCTGTCCAAATTGCGCTAAAAAAAATTGCAGCAAAAAAAGGATAGATCTTTCAAAATAGATTTTGAGCAAATGGTATGAGGACTCCAATGCTTTTCTGCAGAGAAATATGACAAGGTATGAAACATGGCTCTACCAACACAATCAAGGCAGTGGCTACCCAGGGGTGGAAGTGGACCAGTCAAAGCAAAATCCGATATATAAATTAAACCACCGTTATCTCCATCAGAGCTACATTTCATCAGTTTGATTGACAACCCAACAACATTAATTCAAATGAATTTCAATAACCCCGGTGCCGGAAAAAGAACACGAGATCATATTGGCTACATTCCCTGGCCACGTCTACCCTCGGACGAGAAAGCAATCAATCACTCCCTTCCAATTCTCACAACGCTTCTCCTCTACACTTTACTTTGATTTATCGTTCCATTAATAATTCATTCCTTGGTGCAGTCGGAACTGACAGCTTAGACTAATTCCGTTGCTGCATCCACGCCTCAACAAAGAGAAAAAAACCTAGCCATTGAGGAAACAAGGCGTTATAACCAATATTTTTTTTCCTAAACTTGTTTGACTGGAGAGCCATGGACCGTCTGTATTACTCAATAACTACATGCCAGTGTTTATGGTTTTAATATTTACCTAATTCACTTTTCCGTCCGTAAACCTTAACACGATTGTTAATATCCAGTACTATAACCTGATTGGGAGAAGGACAGTGATTACAAACGGTCTTCTTTCCTGTGACTTCCTCCCCTTTTAATTCTGAAGCTAATTAAACCACCTGTTTCCAAAGATCTAAAATAATTATTTCAGTTTATGTTACTAGTTCTCACACTAAATTTTGCTGTATCAATTTGCCTCCAAAAGAACAATACGTATATAAGTACCGTTTAAATAACGAATCCTTTGAAGTTAGAAGGAACAATTGCGTTCTTTAAAATAATAATAATAATGATAAATGAATAAATAAATAAGTAAATGATTGAAAACATATCTGATAATTTAAATATAGAAAACAAACTTGGGTATTCTGTATGTTTTGTTTGCTGTTTGCAAGGAGTTTGAATTGCAAAATGAAATTATCTTACAATAATGCAAAATGACGGGTGTTCAAGCGTAATCTCTTTATATCTTACTCTAGACATTATATATATTCAGGGAATTAAAGTTCTCGCTCATTATTCCAACATCAAATATTTTTAAACTCGCACCATTATCATGATGTGAGCCTTTTTCTCGTGAGTCTTTTGGACATTTAACTTGAAAATATTTGAAAGGAGGGCACGAAAATGGGAATCAGGGCCTGGTGTGCCTGCTGCAAACTAGGCATTATTTCTAATTATAAAATTATTCGACGTATGTTGACGAAACAGCTTAAATAATTAACGTTTGTGGCATAGCATAGAAAGTCCTAACTCCATTTTTCTCAAAACATTTAATTTTCCCCCCAAATCAGAGAAAATAGAAGAGGTTGGGAGGGGAGGCATTCCTGAAAAAAAAGCGATTACACTGTGATTACAGGTCTTTTTCAGTAGGCCTATAGCCTGCTTGGAGGCGAAGGGATTACGTCCACAGCACAACCTTTGATTGATATTCATTTTTTTTATACCTATATGGTTGATAACGTTAGACTAATGTCATATAAGTGATGATTCATTGGTGCACCGTTTCTATTGCACGTGTGGGAGTGTTGCGCGTAGTTAGTATACCCAATACCCAAGGTGTATAGGTTTTCCATCCTCTGGTCTGATATGGAAATTCTTCGTAACTACATAATCGAGGTCCCCTCACTGCCGTTAATATGATTAATTCATATCACTTGGGAAATTGGTATCACCATTTCCAACAACCACAATGTCTGACCGAGACCATTTCCATTGATGGTTGTTAACGAGAGAGGTTAACAGATCCTTGCGCCGGATCATGGGGTACAGTTGGCGGGACCATGTGTCCAACCAATAACTACACCGTGAGACCGGTACAGGACCTGTTACTTGCACAATCCGTTATCGCCAACTCAGGCTATATGGCCACTTGGCTCGATTCCCGCAGGATGATTCTGCCCATCAGGTGGTGGAGGAGGCCTGTGGGACGACCGAGAAGGTCGTGGCTTGGGCAGATCGATCAAACCTGTCGTGAGGAACTAGAGATGGGCCGGGCCCCTGCCTGGCGGCTCGCCATGAGAGACCCTCGCAGGTGGAAGCGAAGGGTGGACGCGGCTATGCGCCCCTACCGGCGTTAGCTCCCTAATGATGATGATGATGAACGAGAGAGGTTGGGAGCACCACTGTCACCAGATGTTTAGAGAGAGTATGAGACCTCCAAGAGACCCCCATGTCCCCGGAATCGAGGACGAAGTGATGGAGCTGGACCCTGTGTGGCTTTGTCTGCCATCTCTGACGAAATGTGTCCTCATGCCTCCCTTCGAGGGCGGATGCTTACTTTCGCCATAGAAGTGCCAAAAGAGAGAGCAGAGAGGGCACCTGCTTCTGCTCAAGGATGAAAGGCAGCTGCTAGAGACAGATGTTAAACGTAAAATTCGGTCATGCTATGTATTGTTTTACACTGCAAGATTCGTCCTCAAGCCGTCTCCAATACTTAAAACACTGAAATAAACACAGAGGAATGCAGGTTCTGTTTGACATCATGCAAATGGTTCCCGGTAATCCGATGGTCATCGCATGCCAGAGTGGTGGTTTCGCACTGACATGCAATATTCAGTATCAAGCATATATCAAGTATATAAGTTAGTAGTCTGTGGTTGTTGAGTGGTGTGTACTTTGAAATTGAAAGAAGGCAATCGCATGTAAGGTGTAAATGCAGGGCAATAGTTAATCTGAAATTAATAGGCACACTTAGGCTGTGTTGACGAGTGTTCGCAAAGAGTTTGCGAGTATGGCGGCGTAAAGTGCGAGGATACGTCAACAGTAATTTAGTCAGGAGGGCAGCACAGGCGTGAGTGGTCAGCACAAAGTAGAAAAACAGACATGACGTGGGTAGGCATGGATCAGAAGAGGACTTGGTAGCGATGGCTGGGCGTTAGGGAAGTGAGATGTGTCTTGGCAACAGAACGTCGGTGAACTTTCATCATGGTGTTGTGAGGTTCGTGGTCACCGCTGCCATCAGATGTCAATGACAGTTTCTTTAGCACCGCTTGCCACCAGATGTCAACGAGAGAGGTCGCATTGCTGTCAACAGGTATCAATGAGAGAGTGGCCTTAGTGCAGATGGATGAAAGGGGTCTTAGTTTGCTGGTTTATTGTTGATGGTAGATGTGAGACCTCTAGGGGACCCCCGTATCCCCTGGGTTGAGGACGAGATGGCGGAGCCGAACCCTGTGTGGTCTGGTCTGTCTCCAGTTTCTCTCCCTCCCGTCTGACGAAACATATCCTTTCATGGGGCGGCTACCTTCGAGGGTGGAAGTTTATGTCGTAGAAATGTCGAAAGAGAAAGCAGAGCGGACACCTTCCACCCAAGGAGGAAAGGCAGCTGCTGGAGATAGAGGTGTGAAACATACACTTCGGTTTGACATCATGCAAATGGTTCCCGGTAATCCGATGGTCATCGCATGCCAGAGTGGTGGTTTCGCACTGACATGCAATATTCAGTATCAAGCATATATCATATATATATATATATATGCCCTCCTGCTATGTATTGTTTACAATGATGGTAAAGGAGTGGTTCTCATTGTTTGATTATGATAATTTTATTTCCTACATTACACATTTTGTGTATTCATTGAGGACTTGGTAGCGATGGCTGGGCGTTAGGGAAGTGAGATGTGTCTTGGCAACAGAACGTCGGTGAACTTTCATCATGGTGTTGTGAGGTTCGTGGTCACCGCTGCCATCAGATGTCAATGACAGTTTCTTTAGCACCGCTTGCCACCAGATGTCAACGAGAGAGGTTGCATTGCTGTCAACAGGTGTCAATGAGAGAGTGGCCTTAGTGCAAATGGATGAAAGGGGTCTTAGTTTGCTGGTTTATTGTTGATGGTAGATGTGAGAACTCTAGGGGACCCCCGTATCCCCTGGGTTAAGGACGAGATGGCGGAGCCGAACCCTGTGTGGTCTGGTCTGTCTCCAGTTTCTCTCCCTCCCGTCTGACGAAACATAACCTTTCATGGGGCGGCTACCTTCGAGGGTGGATGTTTATGTCGTAGAAATGTCGAAAGAGAAAGCAGAGCGGACACCTTCTTCCACCCAAGGAGGAAAGGCAGCTGCTGGAGATAGAGGTGTGAAACATACACTTCGGTCTTGCTATGTATTGTTTACAATGATGGTAAAGGAGTGGTTCTCATTGTTTGATTATGATAATTTTATTTCCTACATTACACATTGTGTGTATTCATTGAGTTATTATCATTATTACCACTTTATTACAAACTTAGTTTTAAAGAAAATGTGCTTCATTAACTCCCAGAAACTGTTTCATTATCCCCGGGGTGACCCTCAGATAGAATGCCTGAAATTTTCATATTTTACTTTCTTTTAACTTGACATAACTGAAAAGGAATAGGGTAATGATAATAGTGAGTTGCTACAATTGTACCGAGGGTAACGATACCAAAAAGTTTTAAAACCACTGTAATACAGGAATGAAAGCTAATCCAACCTGGGTTTCATTGGTTGCCATTCAGCATAGGTAATGGGTATGATAATTGTTTGGCTTAAACAATTGTTTTTACTTATTGTTGTTATTATTATTATTATTATTATCATTATTACTATTATCATTATTATTACCTAGGGCTGATTTAAGACTCTGTAATGGAGAATGCTGGAAGAGACAGGCACTAGAATTGGCATCGGTTAGTGTTTGCAGTGTATTTGGCAGGCCTGATACTTTGGAGAATGCTGCTGTCTAGGAAGTAGTGGATAAACGGTTCATCAGTAGACTCTTCACAATTAATACAGTCTTAGGTGTATGGATGGATCGCCCATAAATAGTGTTTAATCTTTGAATGTAAAGGGCCTTGACCTTGTTCCTTATCTATTTTTGCCTATCATTAGCAGTAGCAGCTACTTTCTCATTCTCGTAATGCTTTTGGCATGGGATCCAATTTAGTGTCACTTGTCAGGTCATGAAGGCAAGAACATTTAATATGTGCAATACAGATGTAAACAAAATATATACATCTAAGGGAGGTGTAGTGTAACGTCTGAATAGAAAACTGTATAGAAATTATCTCTTTTATAATGCTTGTAAGGGCATGCCATGGTCCATGGAGTTCTGTTTGTAGCGGTTAGAGGTCATGCAGTGATTTCTGCAAAGAAAATCAGGTGCCGTTCTTCTGTTTGTCTCTGACTTTTTGCGTGATTATTTCAAGGATGTGATGTGAACATGATTTTTAAACTAGTCGACTTGATAGTGTGGAGAGCACAGGGTATGGTGTCCAGGAGGTGTCTAGAGTGCACGGCAGATTAGCTTCATCGGGAACTTATTTATAAAGAATCTTGCAGCATCTAGATATTTAATTGTCTTTGAGACCTCGACGTACCATGGCGGTCGGGGCACGGGTTAAGAAGATGGTTGAATATATGCAACAGTTTTTCTCTAAAGAGGTACTACCAAGGAGTTCAGATTATCTTGCAAATAATCTGAAGTTTATTAATATATGATAAGTTTCAGGTAGAAGGTTAACAAGGCGCATCCATGTAGGTGCAGCAAAGATGGAGCCCATTGGTTGTTTTATGTATGGTATCAAGCTGAG